ACACCTCTCCGCTTCCCTAACCTCCTTCTTCGACAGGTACGTTTCCTTTGAAGCATGTCCAACTCCTGTCCTCCCAGAAAATGTGTTTGTAAAACAGTTTCCGGCTTCTGGATCACATTAGAAATTTACAGTTGCCAACGCAATGTACTTGAGTTACGAGAAACAGTAGTAGACGCGTTAGTGACGTGAAATCGCAATTTTCTTTAATATAACATAGTTGGGAGTTGGTCATGTTGGTTCGTGGATTTTGTATGGTTATAAAAGACTTACAGCGAATTGCGACCTACAGTTCCTTGGTAGTTGCCTAATTCAAAGAAAAGGGATAAGAACGTACCTCCAACTAATGTTCGGCTTCATTTGCTCATCGATGGTAGACTCTTTTAACTTAAATATAGATATCCCTCGCCTGTTTCGCAACTGTAAGTGGGCAAATAAGTAGTTACTCTCAAGTACCAAATTCTTGATGAACCCTCCCTTTGCCCATGAAATGTTTGTTGTCAAAAAGATTCGATTGTACTCCTACACAAACTCCAAAAAATGTGCCCTATTGAAGAAGATTATCAAAATGGAAACGTGAATTAATTAATACAGTTGGTAATGAGTTTGAATACAGCATAGTGAGTATAATAGTACAGTTACAGAATGGAAAATAGTCAACTTATTTTAGCGTTTTCCCACATCAATATCCAAAATCTGTAATTAGTTCCGCCTCAGAAACAAAAATTAAACTTACTTTCACAATAGACGCAAAGTAAATAAGTTACAAGTTACAATGGGTGCAAATAAATAATTACCTTTAAATATACTTGTAAGTATGATAAAAAGCATATGTACCAAACAGTAAAGATGAAGACAACGTGGTTTAAAAATTGGTTCACATTAGGGTCGCTTATGTATAATTCTATTGATTAATGCTTTCCATTTGATAATACGTGTTAAACTTTCCAGGATTGATTTACACTGTTAACAGCATCTTCAAAACAAACTTTTATGGGCAAAGATTTTTTCTTGGATAGTTATGACTATGAGATGAAAACAGCAATGAAGAAATCTAAGTACTGACAGTTGTATTTTGACAAATAATTCTAACTCTAATGTCATATTTATAACATTCCGAAAAATTTACATGTAGGCATATTGTTAGTTCTGGGAACATTTAAAAGAACTATGCAACACATTACGAAACTAATTTATAATAATAATGGTCAGATCTCTATACACATTTATTTCAAGAATTTTAAATCATTAGTCTAGTACACATCTGATCATAATTACCATGTTTTTTTTTTCTAAAATAACGTGTATATTATGTGAAAGATTCCAAACTTAAAAGAAAATAACTGTATATTACGTCTTCCTGTAGAAGTTTAATTTTATAACGTCTGAATGCTTTTTTAATAATATATTTCAAAACCTGTTACCCATTCCATGAAAATGATTTGTTTACAATATTTAAATGAGTGAACTGATATTTTTCATGAAAAGATCATCTCTGCTGTTACCATCTCATACGAGTTGACATGGGGTTTTTGCTTATGCGGAACATGTATACTATTACAACTCACACTTTTTTAGAGCATATTTCATCATTATGAAATATGAAATTTGTCTTTAATAGTGCAGTGATCACTAAAACTGTGTATACCTTTTCAGTTCATTTACAAAAGTACTGAAAAGAAAATTTGTTCACTTTTCTAAATTCTCTCATTTTTTTGTGCTTTCCATGCTTTTTGGACAGTGAAATATCTCAATACTATTTTTAAGCTCCTTGTTTTTCCATGAAATATTTATTATTAATTTACTATTTATTGTTATTTATTTATTTATTTATTGCAGTTCATTTATTTATTGTTATTTATTTATTTCATAGTTTTTCCATGCCTGAAAACATTTGTATATAACATATTTATGTACTAAGTTATCTTTACTTAATAAACAGCATTACAAAATAATTATTGTCAATTTATTTTCAATATTTATCTTAAAAGTTTGAGCTTGGTTATAAAAGCAAACATTGTAAGATAGCACTGCAATAATATTCCTTACTACATTTCAACCAAATTGCTTCAAAGAAAATGTTGGAAATATCAAGTGCCCTAATTTGTTATAACAACAATCAAACAAACTCCTAATATATATATTTCATTTCACTACTCAACAGAAACTAAAAAAATTCAGAGGGACTAACATTACAGTAAACCATTGACATCCTCGAATTTCAATTCACATTAATTGAATAATAAAGCTGTAAAATAATTTAATTCAGTTGCGTCAAATTCAGGTTCTGTGCATCTCTAATTACAATGACCTTACTGAAGACGATCTTTCGGAAATCATCAGCGAAGAAAACGTCGAAAGTAATGATGAAGTAACGGATGCGAAACTGCGTCCTGGAGAATCTTCAATGTCAAAACCCATATCAATCAGGTTTTTGTTCAGTTTTCCTGATCTATTGAGCACATGCTGAGATGGCCGTAAAAGTGGTTTTTTGCTTCTGCACGTAAAAGTAGCTTCATTATGCGCACATTTTGTTGAACTCTCCTTTTGCTTGTAATGGTAGGTGTAGAGGTAAGGGCGAGTAACTATTTTATTAGCAATGCAGAAAAATCATATCGTTTACAGTTGCAAATAAGTTTTCTATAACTCGGGAACAAAAATATCTAATTTTTTTCGAATAATGCCAATCTAGCGCTTTTTTAAATTTAACTTTTATTTATTTATCTTTAAATTTTACTCATCTTTCAACTATTTATAGTTAAAATAATGGAAAGGAATTCTGGAACTCAAGAAAACGTGCGCAGATATCTTCTCCCCCACACGTCACATAGTTTTTATTGTTTTTTGACTAAATAAATCTTAATCCGTTAATGGCGTCCCAAAACTTCAACAAGCTCTGGTGGAAAAGGTATTCGAATGTGATCCGAACATGGAAATAACTTCGAAATTTAAGAGAGAAATATAAGCATCATCTCTTCCATAATTCTATATTATAGCAACGAGGAAAGTTATGAAATAAAATTAACAACAACAACAACAACAATAACAATAATAATAATAAATCCTATATCCAATCACTTTCAACTTCGAAATAAGTTTCGAAATTGTTTTACTTCTCCTCTTTGGAGTGTTAATTGTGAATTTTATTTGTAGTGCCCTTACTCAGTTCTACTTCAATTGTTTGTTCATTTTTTCTTTCTTTTTTAAACAGTTTTCAGATTTCCAGGAACCTTACCCATCTTCCTTAAAAGATAGACTCAGCATTCGCGGTTGTCATTTGCGATGGTTTTGGAGACCTAACTACCCGAAATATTGAGGAATTATGGTATTTGTCTAAGCATAAAATTAAAAAAAAATCTCCCAAACATGTTTGTATTATTAGTAATATTCGTAGAAGTATACTCAATCATTTAGAGTAAGGTTCGTACTTTCAAATCAAAGCAAAACACTTCTCTCAACAGTCACTCTCACACTCCTTGCGTGGCCTTTATCTGCGAAAAGTATTTTATAATGAAATCAGTAAATTCTGCCGAAGAAAGTGAAAAAAATAAATAATAAGTAATTTCTCCAATACGTCGCCAACAAAACCTACATAAAAACAATAACATTGCAAATGGTGCCAGGATAATAAAGCCGGGAAAATATTCAATTTATTTTCTCACTCTTACATTGAAAGTACTGTAAGCGTGCGTCGGAAAACGGCAATTTTTGACAGAACTCTTATTGCTGGGCCCTGGCAACGAAAAAGTGAATAAACCTTATTCGTATTTGTAGTAAATTACTTCCTCTAACACGTGGGTAACTACAATTCATGTTTTGTGGACTCTTGATACCAAAACTTCCATTGACGGTAAAACGTCCGGCCGTCCGGCCGACCGTCCGTGATCAACAGTAGCGCCTAAACCGCTCAGCCGATTATCTCCAAAATTGATATTCCCCGATCTGAATGAACATTGGGAGTTTCAAACAGTTTTTTTGTGTTGTACATGAAGCCCCAAAACCATTTTCGAAATTTTCTCAAAATGGCTCCAATTTCTTCATTAAAATTTGTCCTCGGTTTGCATAAAGGACGCTAAACAGAATGGTGCAGATTTTTTTTTGATATACCTGATTTTTCGAAAAAGTTCAATGTTTCTTCGACGTCTCCCAGCAACTACGATATTGAAGATGGAGATGTTTCTTCAATGAAATCTGTTCTCTGAAGACAGATCTTGAAATAAGATCAAGTACAATTTTTCGAAAATATGAGCCTCATGTTTTCACCTAATTAAGTGTGAAATATAGGCAATATTGAAATAATTTAAAACGAATATTTTCTCAAAAACGGTTCCAATTTTTTTAAAAGTGCGTTAATCTCACTTCCGTCGAACTCTATTTTCGAAAATTGCAAAATTTCAAAACTGTAAAGTTGAAGATTGAGATTTCTGCCCATAGCAAAATCGGTTCAACTAAATTATCTCTTTAAAAAATTTAAAATTTATAGTAGTTTTTGCGTAATTTGTGCTTAAAATTCATGTAATTTTTACAAAGCACATTTTCTCAAAAACCACTCCAAACATTTTATTTTTTTTTCAGATACAAAACAAAGAGCACCTAGAAGAATAGCACATGTCAACTTTTTGATGAACAATCTTAATTTTCGAAAACTGCAAATTTAGAAATAATGAGAGAAAGTATGTGCTGTTGTAGCATCACTAATTTGACTCTCCAACCCCAATGGCTTCCAATTTGACATAAGTATCCAATTTGACATAAGTATTTAATTTGACATATTGATCTTATCATTTAATGGGAGATATTCTGTCGCATGGGGTGGTTTTATTATACATGAATTGAGTAAGAATCTATAAAATATTTTCTAGAAATCATAGGGGTGCACTGCGCACAGAAGGACCTCGATGACCATACCCCCCGAAAATTTTTAAAGAGGCTCCGTGGTCTTAAGTAATAAAAGATTTGTTATCTTTTTATTCCTAATTTTCCATCTTATTTATCCTCATACTTGTGGAATATTACGGCATACGGGGACAACGCTCTACAAACCATCTAGTAACCGTGTCAACATTACATCAATTGTATTTTTACTTTCTCGCTACGGAGTAGAGAGAAAGTTATGTAATGCTGCGCCAAATACCGGCGAATGTTCGGCAGAAAAACTCTTATTACGGAGCCCTGGTAACGAAAAAGAGGTTAAATCTAGTAGATAAATTTAGAATCAAAATCATCTAACACGTGGGGTACCCAAAAATCCATGTTTTAAGGGTCATTAATACCAAAAATTGAATGACGGCAAAACGTCTGTCTGTACATCCGTCCTTCCGTGAATAACGATAGCGGCTAAACCGTTCAGCCAATTTTCTCTAAAATTGTTATTCCACTATCAATCTGACTGATGTCGCGAACGTTTGAATTTGAAACTGATATTTTATTTTGGGGGGTATTTTACATGAAGCCCCTGGGTCATTTTCCAAATTTTCAAAGAAATTGCTCCATCGCTTTTTATTAAATGTTGTTGTATAGTGTAAAGCGGTCATTGGCATCTTCCTACTACATTTATGAAGATAGAGTTCTCCCTCTTTTCCTCTGTTCCTTAAAGGTAAATTTTGAAATACAGTCATGCACAATTTTTCGAAAATTTGAGTACTTTTCGTATAATTTTGCGTGAGAATACGGGTGAGAAAATTCATGCTCTTCTAGCACCACTAATTTAATTGTATTGTTAAAGTATATTCTACTTGTATTGTTTTTATTTATACGTAAAATATGTCATGTAAATAAAAAGTTCAAGGGAAACGGAGCCGAAAAATGTACTTGACCCCCCTCTCTTCATTTAGGCTTCGTCGCATAGCTAACCTGGGCATCCAAGCTGTCTTGCATTAACAAGAGCTCTACTTTGACAATCTTGAAATCTGCTCAAAAGGTCACATCGAATAACGGCTCCTTGATTAAGGAATTTTTTTTTCGTAGAATCGATAGATTTTTTTATAAAATCTAGCGGCCTGTAACATTTTGTAGATTGACCTGTATTCAGGGTTGGGCAGTGTTTGAAATTTACTTGTATTTTTAATGTATTGTAATACATTTAGTATTTGAAAAACTTAATTTGTGAGATTTTTGGGCACGTATTTTAGAGATGTATTTTGGGACTCACTAGAAACTTTCCGAGGCATTTAATAAATATGAATCGAATGTATGATTACTTTAGAACTGGATGCATAGAAATAATCTAGATCAAAGAATACACGTCGTCAGGATAACGTGTCAACAAACTTTGTGTTCGGTGCTTTAGTGCTGAACGCGATATTCTTGTGCGAAGCATAGCCTCGGGACATAATTTTGAATAAATGACAAGACGGCGTTGAAAATCGAGGTTCCGCAATTATTTAGAGTGGGGTGTCCCCCTCTCTCCCCCCCTCCGACGACCGAAGGATCGCGGGTTCGTGTCCCGCCTCGGGCATGGTTGTATTGTGTTTCGTCCTTTCACCCCCCATCATCATCATTATCGTGTCAACCCACAGTTACCATACCGTTACAAGCAATTGTGGTCGCTAATGACCTAGCAGTTGATGCGACCTTAAATAACACCAAAAAAATACATTACAATTGTTATTGTTCAGAAATTTGCATGACTACTTATTTAATGTAATTGACAATTACAGTATATTATTGCAATACAAAATATAATATAAATTATTATATATTTACACTATTTTGACTAATTTAAGCATTTTAAATACGTATGTATTTCGCACATCAAGTCCTAATGTATTTTGTGAATGTATTTAAATACTTATTTATTAAGTATTTTAGCGAAGAGTGTAAATACTAAATTTAAAGTATTTTGCCCAACCCTGCCAGTCAACAGTCACCCGTACCGATGTTGAACTGTGATGGAAATTTATAGTACAGTTTGTTTTGGAACGGCAGCCATCGGCCTCAAACGGAATGGGTTCACTTACTCCGAATATATCGCCACAGAAGAAGCTTCGTATTAAAGCGAGAGAGATATGAGGAAACGTGAGTACTCTTTCCTGATGTCACGATCTTCGACGCGGCAGACAGGCATGATGCAAGGCCACCCGCGGCTGATCGTGAAAGCTCTGTCATTTTCGCCGTGGTTTGCTCTAGTCGCCTTTCGAAACGTCTGTGTGAAATTTCGCCATGCATGAGATGTGTGCGCCTCCACCCACACAATATTATAATAATGTTCAGAAGTACGTTTTCAAAGTATATTTATTATAAATTACATACCCAGATGTTCGGTACAATACAAACATTCGACAAATGATGTTTAAATTTTAAGACAATTGTAAGACAAAAGATCATAAATACTTGATTTAGCGAAATAATGAGGACGCATACTTATTTTCGCTCAGAATACAAATATTAAGACAATAAGGATAAACTGAAATGAATCAGATAATTATTGAATTAATAATAAAGTAGGCGAATATGATCAGTACCAATTAAGACAAACTTTATACATACATACACACACACACACACACATACATATATATATATGTGTATAGTGACGTAACTCAGGTGTGGTTGCACACAATATACCATACACTTAATTAAGAAAAAACAAAGGATCAGGGGTTTGAAAGGGAGACACACTGGTTCATTGGTCGCGTGTGAAAGTAAAACAGTATGAATTCTGGTAAAATCCTGGATTTATTTAATCCTCAATAGCATAGAAGGAACAAAATGATACCTAACCTTTTCTCTATCAATTACTTTAACACCTTTTCGAGCTGATTTCCATATAGAAATTATATTAGGGCTTCTAATAGAGATCCCAAGCAAATTCGCAAAATGAACACCTCTTATTTTAAATTTACAAAAAAGGAACACATTATCTTTGACACAAATAGAATACCTACAAAATATCCCCTTTTCTCAACACCAGTGAGATTTCCCTTCCAAAAATTCTAGTTCTAATTAACGGAGTTCATGCGTTTGCATTTAAACTTGAGGGATTACACAAATTTACAATGATTCTCCCTTCTCTTGGCTCTTACGTTTGAAATTAGAACGCGTATTTAGCTACATAAGATACGCTTCGACTTCCTTCCCTTCGCAGTTTCTATACTATATCTACAAGCATAGTTACAATTTCTCCTCCACCACCGAGAACAAAACGGTTTTATACTCAGCGTTCGATGTCTTCGTGCGCCGGCTACCGGGATCACAAAGAACGCGTGCTCGCTCGCCGCACCCTTCTCGAACACCGTTGCAGTGCGCGAGGTCAGGGGCCGGCTCCGAGCAACCACGAATTCTCTCGCGCCGCCTACGGAACGCTGCAGCGTCGTGTCCGTCCTCATCCAGCCGTCTTATGCGCCACGTCCTCTTTCGGCCGTCGTCGTCCAATCGCCCTCTTCCGGTCTTCGCCCTCGTCAAATTGTCCTCGTCATCGTCCTCGTCGTCGTACGCCGCACCGCCACTCTTCTGGAGCGCGTGCTTCTCAGTTCATTCAAACTATTACCTATTCAAGCACTGTTTTTCTGGCACCCTGCAATAATATTGTCTCGTCTAAATTCGTTAGCAAAAAATCTGTTCTTACGTTCTTTCCACTGATCACGAGAAGTCCTATTCTAGCTACTCGTACAACCTCTTCGGACCGCTGTCGAGATCTGCAGAAGGAATCTCTCCGACTGGTCAATTCCCTCCCCTACATTTTCTTTCGCTGACGTCAAGGGCCACTTCCCCTTTCCCTGCGGTCAGCCGACACTACATCTTGAACATGCCCTGCTTTTCGCGGCAACTTCGAATACGTCTACACATACTTTCTCTCTCTCTCTCTGAATCCTCGTATGTTAGTTTCGTCGTAATATATATTACCCAAATTGTGCCCCACCCTGAGTTTGCGCCCTAGGCGATTGCATACTTTGCCTATAGGTAGCGCCGGCCCTGCAGCAGCATGGTAACACTCATTTACCAATGTGCTGGAGTGTCTTCGCTATCACCTTGCGAAGCCTTTTCTGGCTGGTCTGCTTTAAATGGTCAGCAATAGGTTCGCGCGCTCTGTTCAGTGGAGTGTTGTATTCTTTATATTATTAAAATTAAACCATTTACTGACTATTTCCACTACGTCTCTTCTCTTGCCCGGACTGGGCTTTGCAGATAACCGAGAACATAGGCGAGTGTCTCAAAAAAAATTAATCATAGATCAATCCAAGATAAACTACTCTAGACATCAATGATCTATGTTGATGGATTAGTTAATTGATTATGTATTGTTTCCTGGCACATCAAAAAAGGTCATTAGCCCCGTTATGTTTGTTTGAGTTATTTGTTGTATATAGCAATACTGTGAAATAAAATAAGTTTCTGTACATTAACAATTCCTACTCACAGGCTCTATTAAAAGACATTTTTGTCTGTTAAACCTCCTAACCTGAAGTACGTAGGAATATTGGAAGTTAATGCAATTATTGCACTCTTAAATAAACATATTACGGAAGCAATATTTTTCTTCCATTTAAAATGTTTAATTTTACTCTCAATTGACAATTTGAAATCTTAATGACGTGTTATTTCATTTTATTGGATCATTTCTAAAAAGTAATATAACTAAATTTCGGGAAATAATTGTCAACTGACATCGGTATCCAGTGACATACTGACACACTGGAGCAAACCCTTCCTTTTAAATATCGCGTCAGTTGCTCTGATCGCAGTGCCGGCGAACTTTATGAAGCTAGTAGTTACCTTAGGGCCCCTTCCCACGGCGCGGCCGCGGCGCGCTTCGCAGCAGCGCGGCGCGTAGCAGAGCATTGGTTTGAATGGAGGCCTTCCCACGTGCAGCGGCTGCTGCGGCAGCCGACGCCGAACTCCAGCTACGCGAAGCGGAGGAGGGGCCACGCGCCACCGCTAGCAGAACACAGCTTTAAATGGGAGCCTTCCCACTGCGCCGCGGCCGCAGCATTCTTCCTGCTCCGGTCCCTTTGTTCGTCGTCGCCGGAGGGTCGGCGAAACCTACCCCTCCAGACCCCACCCCCTTCCACGGCGGGCGGCGGTGCGGCCGTGGCTCCGGCGGTGGCTGCTTCGGAAGAGCTCTGCTCCTTGAACGAAGCGCGCCGCGGTCGCGCCGTGGGAAGGCGCCCTTACCCGCGACCTTGTCGTGGCTGGTATAGATTGAGTATGTAGGGCCTTAGGCTGAAGAGACACGCCAGTGGGGCATGCCTCGTGCAAACTGGAGCGATGACACGTTTCCTGTGATGGTATGAGTAAACGGCAAATTGAACGCAACACGCCCATTGGAATTAAACAGAGACATTTATTACTTTACACAAACCTTTTTGGTATCAACTGACATGTAAACAAAAAATACAAATCTAATTAATATTTTGCAATGCATCAAGCATTGTTCTTCTTAAGAAAGAGTTTTGGCTCGGTAAGACAGTAAAGAGGCAAAATAAAGTGAAACAATTGAATTGTCATTTTTGATCGAAAATCAATTTTGTATTGCTTCCTATTCCACAACGAAAAACGTGGATTTACATTATATTTTAACGAATTTTTATCATAATTTTGAAAAGAAACTAATACATTTTTTGCAAACTTTGATTCAAATTTCAAATAATATATTCTATAAAATTTCTTATTGAAATTTTTGAGGGAATTATCATGCTTTTGCATATTGTTTCTAGGTGCGTATTATTCTGCCAAATATGCAATTTCACAGTGGAGTTGTTATCTGACTTATACCAGTCGCGAATCCAAGAGGGGGGAAATGACGGACATCCCCCCCTAAACTTTTTCAGTAACTATTTATTATAACTTGCACGAAACTTTCAAGCAAAACTATTTTGAGATAATCATTAAAAGGAATAAAACCGTATCCCATCAACCGCTGAGTTTAGCCTGAGTCATTTTGCATAGTCTGTAATATGACACATTTGACCAAAACATTTTGAATAAAAAACTATCTTAATTTATCGATCACACGCTACTCACAGTCGGGCATTTATATAGTATCGTAAGTATAGGCACAAAAAGTTCGTTCTTATTCACCTCTGTTTTTGCATTTCTAGGTTATTCCACGCTTAAACTACGTCTTTCCAGGGTTTAGCAGTTGCCATGGAAACTACACTTCACTTATTCCGTGCTCGAGTTATTTCATGTTTGTTGATAGGCGTTTTCGCAATTCACCTGCTATTCTCAGCTTCAGCATAGAATACAATTTACACCACGTTTATTAGTAAGGCCTACGGAGGGTAACGGCGTAAAATAGTGAAAGTAGCCCCAAGAGGTAAATGTTTTCTGGGTTGATACACCTGTTCAAAAAATAGAAAAAACTAAGTGTATGAGTTTCTCTCCTTCACTTTACCGCTACCATCGACCTGTCGACCAGTTGAACCTTTCGACCTGTCAAAAACATAGTTGTTTTTTTTATTCGACCTTTTATTTTTTTCAACCGGAAAATATTATCAATTGATCGGCCTAACTTCATTATTCTTAAAACATTTCAGAGAGTCTCTATGATTTTTTCCGAATTTTCTCAAGCTTCCTTCTTTTTGAAAACTCCATTAGAAATCGTAAAAAAAACTTTCAAAAATTTAAGAAAATGGTGAAAACATTACATTTAAGAAGGTTAGAAGAAACGTAAAGAGTTCGTCTAAATAGAAACTAGAGCCCAGTCGACATTGTATAGATTCTCGCAAACCGCGCATTTTTTATACGGTAGATGGCACCTTACAGATCAAAAAATTGAATCTATTTTTTCACGGCTTTTCATTTATAACACACAAACTTTTCAAGTTGGCTTCAATGTGTTCATAACGTATTATCCAGCATTTGAGAGAGTTTAAGTTCTATTATGTTTTAAAGTCAAAATATTGACTTGAGTATACGTGCATTCAATTTTTATTTAGAATGTCTCGGTCTGTATGCTCACGACAATAACGGTTGAGTATTTATTAAAAAAAACAACTGTATGAACAAATTATTATGTGTGTAGAAACAGTATATTTTAAAAATATTATTTGTTAATACTAATGACTGTGAAATTATATTTGTAAATCGTTATGAATTACATAATTAAATATATTTACAGAAAAAATCTGAATTATTACGATTACCATCTGTTGGGTGATTCGATATTCGATATATACGTATCGCTTCAGCGACAGAACTATACGTTGTAACAAACTTCCTTCTGCTTCACGTTTGAGAAACACGAGATGACACTGGCAGTACGCAACAGCTGCAGCTTTTCAAGTGACGTTATTTACCCTGATTGCCACAAACGCGAATGAATAAATGAAGGGGATAGAACGTGGAACAACACTCTCTATAGCTAGAAAGCGCTTCTACCACGGATTTACGACGCACAACAAAATTTCATCTCATTATGTACCCAGAGAGTGTAGATGTTGGACAAAAATATTAAAAGTATAGGACTGAAATTTATATTCGCTTTAGATTACTCACGAATTATAGCGCGCACATGGCGAGGGCAGTAAACCGCGGAAACGCTGCCCCTGACGAGGTCCAAACCTGACCTTTTTCTCTGACTGGGTGGTCCTAATTCGACTCTCGTCCGCGGCGGTATTTCGACACTAGCAAGGATAGCTAGGACGCTTTCCATCTGAAATTATAGCAGCAGACTTCTCTAATCGGTAGTTTTCCGTCGTTTCTCCGAAAACTACCAGGTGAATGCTGGAGCAGCACCATAACAAACGGGCCACGAACCACCCGTTATTTTTCCTTCCTTTTCCTTGTATTAACATTACCCCTTACTTACACACAGATGCATTTTCATGTACTACACTACCATATATGTCGGAAGCATGGAGCTTGTCTGGGTTGGGGCGGTGCACCGCTGGTATGAGATACGTAGATGAGGAAAACCCCGCAAACCGCCGAAGAAATTTTGAATTTTTGCAATTTGCAAAATATTAACGAAAATAAGATCTGCACAGTTCTCTTAATCGTACTCCACACTATCCAACAACAAAATTTAATCAAAAACGATGGAGCAATTTCTTTAAGAATTTGGAAAATGTCCCGGAGGTTTTGTCTAAAGTACTCCTAAAATTAAAATATCGGTTTTAAATTAAGGGGCCGCGACATCAGCCAGATCGATTGGCGTATATCTATTTTGGAGACAATCAGCTGAGCAGTTTAGCCGCTAGCGTTGTTCACAGTCTGACGGACATTCAATTACTCGTCATTAAGGACATCCAAAACATGGATTCTGGCTACACCGCGTGTTAGTGGATTTTTCCCTAATCAACTGGATTAATCCACTTTTTCGTTACCAGGCCCTGTAATAACAGTTTTTCGGCCGAAAATTCGCCGTTTTTTGGCGCAGCATTGCATAACTCTCCCTCGCATAACCGAGAAAGTAAAAAGCATACACTACATTTACGGGACTAATGAACTGATTAGTTGACGCGCCCGGAAAAACGAAATAATCAATGGAGACCCAACTGCCAAGCACAAAGAAGAATGTGGCTACAATCCTTAATTGCCCCCTTACAGCAACTTTCTTATTTTATCCCTTTCTAGAGACCGCTTTAAGGAAAATTATACATTACACGGAAATGTCAGCAGAAAAAATGAAAATTGACTTTTTAAACAGCATTCGCGTGACGTGTCCTCTGCCTGTGCTTCAGGAGATTGAGAAGGCGAAGTGGCTTTTGAAACAACATTCATATATATCCTGACTGCGGGTATATAGGTACCACAACAGCTCAGTTCGTTTCAGTTTTATTAGCTCTAATGTGATGGCGAATATAATAGTGACACCCGCAGTATTGATTCTTTGAATTAACAGATGCTTTCTTGCCTTACCTTCCTGAAAAAACATCTGGAACTGCCTCCAGTAGAATATATAATTATATGTATCCAGACATATAATGTCGAAAGTGTGTGTTATCAATTTAGCCTTGTGTTCGGAATCTCGTCGTGGGTACGTGATACTTCGGTGTCGCAAAATGAATTCACGGGAAAACGTAATATGTCTGTGGGCAACGCTAGCGCCAAAACCGTTCGGCCAATGTCCTCCAACATTGATATTCTTCCGTTGATTTACAGGAACTCGAGGTCCCCTGAGTTTGAAACGGATATTTTGATTTTTGGGGGTACTCTACATGATGTATTAACATTTTCGAAATTGTCTCATAAATGTCTTCAATTTTTGAGAATGAACTTTGATTTCGGATAACGTAAAGGACGCTAAAGAGAATAGTGCAGTGATTTCATTGAAATCCCTGATTTTTCGAAAATTACTTAAGTTCAAAATTATTTTTGAAGTCTTCCTACAAAAGTAATATTGAAGATAGATGTATTTTTCGTAATAAAATTTGGTGTTCAAGAACTGATCTTGAAATAACATGATACACAATTTTTCGAGAATATGAGTCATTTTAATGCAGTATTTTTTTAAATCAATTTCTTTCACAAAACCAGCTCCTAATTTTTTGTTTAAATTTTCTCCTTGTATGCATCAAAGGGCAGGAAACAGGGGTGCTAGTCTCATTTTCAGCAAACTGCAACCAAAAGATGCGAAATTTTAACTTTCCAAAACCACAATATTGAAGACATATATTTGTCTTAAAATCAGCACTAAAAATCAAATCTTTAAAAAAAGGTCATGTAATTTTTTTGAAAACAATTTTGCATAATTTCTTCTTGAAATTAATGCAATGAAAAAGAAAAAAAGTCTCAAAAGCTGCTCTCCATGGATAGAACATGGAATCCTAAAAAATATGTCACAGGTCTCATTATTGTTGAACTCTGAATTTTCCAAAAGTGCAAAAATTAGAAATAATGTGGGAAAGTATTGTTGTAGCACCATTAGTTTTAATTTTGTGAAGAAGTGTGAAATAAATCTCTTTTGGGGCTCCTCAGAGTTGACAAGAGAATGTAGGTTTGTTACTTGTAGACAACTACTGGGAACCTAAAACTGAAAATGAGCTACACATTTCATTTTAACCAGTGAAGATGTTTTAAATTCATTTAGAAAGACAGTAAATATTTCTAAAAAGGTATTTATGCCAAAATGGGCAATCTACAACTTCATCAAAATCTTATATTTTTAATAATTAGTGCACATATTCTAAAAGCCTTTAAATATGTTAATCACAATACCATAGACACTTTCTTAAATATCTAATGTCTAGTAATATTAGCCTTATTTAGTGAGGATTCCCAATATTAAGAAACCACCCCTCTAAAAGACCAGTTTTGCCTGGAAGCAAGTGTTTGCATAATACAGGTTTCACTGTAACATCCTTCTGATGTGAGGAATGGCTGCTATTGCTCAGTCAACTGTAGACCCATTTTGAAGTTTTGTGGATGGAAGGGTGCACTTTCTTGCAGAACAAGCAAAACCAACTACCAAATAAATTTTAAAATAATTCATTCTACATTTACTGGATTGGATGAAATTTTGTTTTATCATGAAACCAAAGATTTCTAATCCAATTTCTTTTTCAATATTACCTTAAGGAAATCTAGGAGTAAGCTCTTAGCCATCACATTTCATGTGAATAAACGTGTGGTGTGATGTAAGATTTTGTTGTGAATTCTGATGAAAAGGTGTAAAGGACATATTTTTTCCAGGATGGACGGAAAATTTGGTTTTGTTCACATTAACCAAGTTGGATAATATTAGAATGAAAACACAATTCTTATTCATTTTTTTATTCAAAATCTGCAAAAACTGCAATATTATCAGCACTAGTACTAGTATAATTGATCTTGAGAGCAAAATCAAATGTATAATTAAGTACATCAAGTCTTGGAGAGCCTAACTCATAAATTTGAAATAATATTACGTACAATAAGCAGAACACATGCTACAAAATACTTCACTGAGCAACGAATACATTACATGAACTTAAGTTACAAATATTACTGTATCTTACTAATCATCTCAATTGATAACCATTCAAAAAAGTTTTAAACAGCTAATTTATGATATACTTTTGCAAATGTGACTCGAATTCAATAACATTCTATATTTAAAGGTTATTATAACTTAATAACTGAGGTACATCAATAGGAGTGGAAAATGATGAATACAAAAGTTTACTTATATAAGCAGACTTAATGTTCAATATTGCGCTAGTATCTTAAAAAAAAGAAAACTATCCAAAATGTGATGTGAGAAATGGAGAATCACATTTTAATATAAAACTAGCATTAACAATAACAATAGGCTACTATTGTGGTTGCAATAAACAGTTACATCCACGATTTTTGCATACACCTTCAACAGGTAATTAATTGATAAATGCATTATATAATCATATGCAGGAAGGAAATGTATATTCAAGCATGGATTAGTACATTACAACATGATGAACCTGAGACACACAAAAGTACATACTACAAATGTATATATTCCCTAAACTAAAAGAGTTCAGGCTCAAAGAAAACTCAAAATTATGTTGCGAGTGCTGATAGAAAAGGAAGTAATCTCTAACCTTTTTTATGTGAAAGTAACCAAAACCACAAGAAAAACCCATTTAAAAAAAATTTGGTTACATAATGTTCTAAAATGGTGTTCTGATTAATTTTTGAAATTATTAAACAAATATTAATGATTCTCTGAAATTTACATCATAAAATAAATGAATTACAACAAACATTAAAAATTAACAAAACAATGATGATGATTCAATACTACAACTGTAAATAAGAATATCGTATCTGTAATTGGTTGCGATATAGAAAGAAGAGCATATAGCAGTTTCAGTCTTCAATTTCTTCACTGAATTCAGATTTTATCTTCTTATTTGATCTTGTCCATGCTTGATTTGTCGTTGGCCGATTTGTCATTCCGCAGGCTGAAGAAAACAGAATAACTTTAGCAATTTTAACCAATTTTGCATTACGCCACATTTTAAACCCCTTTAACTTCGAACCGTCAATCTAATTATGAAGTATTAATTTATACAAGTTATTCAAATACCAGTATATCAACACTCAATACTGCAGATATTTAAGACAAGTAATAAATAAACATTCTAGCTATCTAAAAACTTGTGTCATCAATTTTGACGTCAAAACATGTATGTTTTAAAACTATTCATTAATCTTTTTAATAGACGGTTTGTGCTTAATATTTTGTTTAAGAATGAAAAAGTTATCAATATAAAGACGATCACAATTTGTAAAAGATAAAAAAATAAATAACTGACAATACCATTGTCAAATCATGTCCTCAAACAAAGCAAATGTTATATCTACTATCTGAGAGCAAACACTCTCCCCTAAGAGATGACGCATAATGCCCTGGTATTTCCTCTGCCTTTCCTAATTTTTTTCCACGTGAAGAACCAGTAAATGCATGTACAGTACGCATAGGACCTCTCCCAATCTTCGCACATCTTTCTATGCCAAACTGAGAAGTCCTGATATCTTGAGATGTCCCTGAGCGCTCAGACTTTCAAGCTCAGTTTCATCAACTGTTGTTATTTTTCAGTTAGTTTTCTTAGCTTAATTATAAATTTATAAACACAATCAATGTCAAATTAAGTTCTCCCCTGCACTAACATAAATGACTAAAGTACTTTTTTTAAAAATCTATGCTTTAGGAGCATTGTATAATTAATGTTGATGTTTTAATTTTGAATATCTATGTTTTGTTAACAATATTGCATCCCTATTACAAATTCAATGGAAATAAGCCTTGGGCAGAACTAGAAATGAAGAAAATATTAGAAAATTCTCACCAGTGGTTTTGTGATCCAGTTTCTTCAATAAAATCACGGGCCTGCATCCACTGGTCAGACACAAATTTGGTCATATAATTCCTAATGCCGTCAGGTAAAAGAACAACACATCTCTGCCCTTCCTTCAGACTAGCTGCTGCCTTTACAGCTGCAGCCATCGCAGAGCCACTGCTTCCACCTTAAAAAGTAGTAATGCTGTTAGTATTTTTCACATCTAAGAAGTTGGCACGATTGCATGAATACCTGTTGAATTATAAATGATGAATTGTCATACAAAATTTACCCTTTACATTACATTATTCACCATGTTAGGTATTCCTTCTGCCAGTGACAATTCCAAATTAACAGTTTTTTTTATAAGAAAATTTGCAGTACTTAAAACTTTCCATTTAGTTCCCCATTCTAATGTAACCCTGTATGTAAAATCCACAATTGGATGAACACACAAATTCTAAAACCTTTCAAAAATGATATGCCAACTTCAATTTAGAGGCAATCCACAAAAATATTTAGTTTTATCACATACTGAAAACCAAATTTTTAAATACAAAGTATATCACAAAATGTCTGTATAAAAATGTTCTTTTAAAAATTAAACATGTTTTTATTATATATTGAAATAAAATAATAACAGTTCTTTCCCGTATTTCTGGGATCAATCACTGGAAAGAAAAATTTGTATGTCCAAGATCAACAGCTGAACTTTGTCATGATCACTCCTCCCAAAATTAAAAGGTTTGATTACATTTTAATATCAATACACACAAGTTTTTAATAATATATAAAAAGGAGTCAAAATCATAAACAGTTGTTGATTCAATCAGCATTTATAGCGCATTTCCATCTTCAACTAATAACTGTACATCATTAAAAGCAAAAAAATATGTATCGATATTTTATTAATATTGTTTCAATACTTTCCATCTACACGCAATGAATTTCTATCTTGTTAATTATTAGGCAATAGTTATGGAATATCCCAACAAATTGAAGTACAAAAAAAAACCTTTTCGTTAAATATGTTTGAAAATCTTTTAAAAATATGTTGCTTATTCAACAATATCTTTTTTCCGACCCCTTAAATTTAAAACAAAGGTAGCATTGTTTCTTTTTGCGATTTCTTTATTTTGTGCAATATATAACATGGCTGCCAGAGAGAAAACATCAAGTTAAATTTAATAGGTTTTCAATTAATATTTCTGCCTAAAGTTCAAAATGACTTTCATAACAGTATTTAACAATGGTTGAAGAATGTAATGTTTTTATACCCATTTGTTTCATAATCAAAAAAAATCTTAGCAAGTTTAGCAACCATTCAACACCCAATTCATTTTCATCCTTTGGGGTTGTGCCTGAATTCCATTCATCAATCCCATATTGTTGATGCAATTGCTTCTCTTTTGCAATTTAATCATCAGAGCACAAATACTATCCTGAGAAATACCCAAATTTAGAAAATATTGGTGAGTTTGTGGGAGTTTTTAATTTCACTTTCTCTTCTAAACCCTATTACTGCACAACAAATTTACTAAAGTCAAATCACGACAATCAAAAAGTTCTAATTTGCATTATAATTTTCCTCAAATAGTACAGTACTTTATAGTACTTAATAGTACAGTATTCTACAGTATTTCATTCTTACAAATAATTTTAGTTCATGACAAACTAAGCGAAAAATGAAACCTAATCTCAAATATTAACTCTTTTACACCCGTGTACACCAATGCAAGCACCATCTGTTAATAATTTTATCATGAACTTCCTATTTACTGATTTTCAGCTTCTTCACAAATGACTTATGTCATTGCAACACTAGTCAACCACAATAGGTGATACTTGTTAAGTTTCAATTTTCACTTTCACCAAAAGGTATCGAGAGGACCCAATAAAATGTCACCTCTCAACAATGCTGAACATAACCAGTTACAATTTTTTGTAATTAAAATATATTTACTTCTATAATAATTTAGTATTGTTTGAGACTTACAACACATAATATAAAAACTAAGAAAATAGATTTTTACTTTACAGTAGTATTTTTTTTTTAATTATACAAGTTAAATACCCAAATATCAATCTAAAAAGTGATTATATTCTGGTGCATCCTTCAAATTTGGAAAAATCAACAATTTGCATGAAATTCTCTCTCAAATAGTAATTCAAATTACAGGATAATTAGAAATAAAGATCAAACTAATTAATATATATTAATAATTCAGTTTGATAAAAGATTCAGATAAAAAATATTGACAAGAAAATCTCTAGGTTGAATGCAATAAGTGACATCTTACCACAAAGTAAACCCTCATCTTTTATTAATCTTCTGGCCATTATCAACGAGTCCTTGTCACCAGACTTTTGCCATTCATCAACCACAGTTCTGTCTAAAAAAAAATGATAAAATTCACATTACTTCATGCAATCAGTCTTATTTAAGTTATAAGCATTTCAATACTTACCTAAGACAGTTGGAATGAAATCGTATCCAATTCCTTCCACCTCATAAAATGAAACTTCTGTTTTATTCAAATCTTCAGGTAGAGCAAGAATTGAACCAAGAGGATCTACACCAACTACCTTACAATTTGGGCATTTTTCTTTAATCTTACGACCAATCCCAGAAATAGTGCCTCCAGTTCCAGCTCCACAAACAATCATATCTATTTTACCATCACACTGGTCAATAATTTCCTCAGCAGTAAGATCATAATGGGCAATTGGATTACTAGCATTTCTGTACTGTAAGAAAATAATTCAAATATCAGAAAACTAAGTAAACAAACACAGAAATATGTAAATATAAAATAATTGGATGTTAAAAGTGATCACATTTTACATACTTGATCCAAGATTATCGAATTTGGTATCTCTCTGTTGAGTCTCTGAGAAACTGATATTAAACCTTCTGGAGAATCAAAAGCAGCAGAAGTTGGAGTACGAATAATTTCAGCACCAAGAGCACGAAGAACATCGACTTTCTCATTTGACATCTTCTCTGGCATTACTATTATGCAATGGTAGCCTTTGACAGCTGCTGCCATTGCAAGACCAATGCCTGAAAATGAAGCAAGGAAACTACTTCATACTGTTCTATCTGAAATGCTTATTAGATATATCAAGAGGCTGAATACAAAAACAAACCTGTATTTCCAGACGAAGGCTCTATAAGAGTACATCCAGGTTTCAGAAGACCTTTACGTTCAGCATCCTCTACCATGCGATATGCAATTCTATCCTTTACACTTCCTCCCGGATTGAGAAATTCACATTTAGCCACTAAAACATTAAATTTATTTAAATCATGACTGCTGACAGGAATTATTTTATTTCAAATTTGATATTATACTCTGAAATTACTCACACATTTCACATTTAACTCCATATGCAGCTGGAATTCTATTTAATCTTATCATTGGCGTGTGGCCAATTGCATCCAGCACGTTAGGCAAAATTTTCTCTTTTGGCACACTACAAACAAAATTAAGTCTTGCAAATTATTTTCACAAAAATAAAACTAAAATTTACATATATGATATTCTTATTTGCTTACACTTGTTGCTCAAAATGAGGGCTATTTTTCTTGTCTGCTCCAAGGTGCCATGTGCAGCGACTTGGCAGGTCTGGACGAATAAATTCAGCCTTTTCACTTGAAGCACTTGGCTTCACTGGAGCTGGAGGAACCGTAGTAGGTGAAGGAGCCATCTGTAACATTATTACTACAATCACAAATAAATCGCTCTATAAAAAGATTGTATAATGTCCATTATAATAAATAGTATCCTTCAAAGTATCACATTGTCTACTGAAACATTTAATTTTAATGCTAAAGTTTATAACATAAAGGAGTTTATGTTAAGTTTGAGATTTCTTAATTAAATTTAATATTTATTAAATACAGTTAATAAATCTAAAAATTAAGTATATTTATTCCATAGCGAGTGTAACAGATTTTATTATTGGAGTATGCTGACAACTTTTAACTTGAACGCCACTAACTTTAGAAATAATACAAGTTATTATCCCGCTTGCAATGGACCTTTCCTGGTCCTACCGAAGCAATGGTCTGTTCGGTTAACAGTTTGCGCCGTTTATACAACAAAGTTACTGCATGCTTTTGAAACAGCAAGTCATAAGGTCACAGGGTTTTTCTTCGAGAGCGGGTGGGGATGCACGATTGTAACATCACACAGTGCGCCGCGGCCGTTGCTAATGGTCTGCGCAACTTAGATACCATGCGTAATAACACATCTGTATCAGTATGTTCCACGTGTCATATTTTACATCATACAAAATTGCACGTGAGAGCAAAAACTGATTAAGCTTATATTTAGGATTAAAGTCTTACCTCTACAGTCGTGAGATCAGTCACGCACGCCGTGGACAAAATTAACTTGAGGTTTTTTCCAGTCGGCTCACCGAGGTAATGACGCGTGTTGACCAAAACAACAGGTCTGCGTCCAGTGAGCTCCCAAGACGGGCACAAGCTCGGCCCTTCACCCTGGAGGTTCCCGCACGTTCCACACAGGCACTGTGCATACCCTTCGACAACGCCCCTCGACCTATATATTCCAAGACAAGTTTTGTTTATTGTACAGAAAGTGTTAATTATTGAGACAACTTCATTTCACCACTTCCAGATATGCAAAAAGAAAAATGTTAAAAGCAGTATCTTCCACGAAAGGGGAGATTAAAACGCAAATTATTTAAGAGGTTGTATTTTCACAGAGACGGGAAAGTGTAGTGCTTAAAGTGACTTTTATAAAAGCCGCTTCACGGAAGGGCGATTACATCACTTCCTAGAAAAAAAACATTATTTCTTTAAATAATTTATTTATTCATAACGAGCTGAAACTTCCGGCCTTTAATTTGTTAAAAAATAGTACGAGTTATCGAAATTTTTAGACGAGTCTGAAGGAAGTGTACATCCGACCTAATGCATTTTTTATTAGTTATCAACGAAGAAATACTGTACTTATCTTGGAAACACATCACATGACAAATCTGAACTTGTGCGACCTTGCCCCGCGTTTCTCACTATGCGCGCATGTCAATTCGCAACAGTTTCATAAAATTGTCTCGCAATGAATGGAAGTGAAATGATAAAGAACATTACGTATAGTCTCAGAAAAAATCAAATACTATATTCGGGAGCGATTAATGTGTTTGCGTGTACAAGCATTCTACTGATTTTTATCGTTGATCAAACAAAAAGAAGTACCCAAGATTACCTTGCACTCTCGCGGGAGTTCTACAAATAACCCGACAAAATGCTGAATAATGTTCCTCACGAACGACGTGAGTGCATAATCTTAATGACTTTACAAATGAGGCATATCATTATTATCGATCGCAAAATAGGGGAAACAGCGGAAAACAAATCACATTCATGCAAATAAATGTACGGGAAATAAACCATTTGATATCATTATATGGAGGGAAGAAAATAAATAAATAGTTTAAAATCATTTGCTAAAGCAGGTATCTCATCGAAAAATAAATTCCACTTTACAGATGCATGTCTATAAAGATAACACTTTTGTTATGTGCTCTCTCTCTTGTGTAAATAATACGATACGCGCTATAGGTTAATCGGGGTAAACGGTTTTAACTTATTGCGTTTTTATATTTATCTCCGCAAGCTCATTTTTTCTTCTTAGAGGAATATGTGCTTGCAATTTATTATTTATTTCCATCGTAAACACACACACAAAGTTATAATATAGTACTCTTTTCATTAAATTTGCCTTAACATTGTGAACATAACATCCTGTGCAGTATGTTTTACTGCAAAGGGTATATTACAATAAATTTATATAGAGCACAGATGATTATAAGTTGTAGTGAAAGTTTGTCTCAAATTCTACTCTAAGTTTCATCGTAACAAATGTAATATTATTCAAAATTATATTAATTCACAAACATCTAAAACAAAATTATTATAGATATGGCAAATAAAGAGATTATGTACTAGATCAGAAAATGTATGGGCCCAAAGTCACTTGGGCTTTTTGTTGCTTCATCTTTATAACCCTTATAACACCCTTGGTGCAAAAAATAACTATTAATTCAATTAATTGTAATGATAATGGTATCTCTGTGGGAGGAGGCAATGAAGAAGTCTTCTAGTTGTCACTCTGAACATAAATCCATTGTTGAGTTAAAATTGTATTCATGCATATTGTTAAAGCTTCAAGATTCACAAAAATTATTGAATTACTTGACCGTAATTCAATGAAAATATAATTTAACAAAAGAATCTGATAATATAGATTAGTAAAATTTATATGAACCAAATTATGAAACATTGAAATAAAGTTCTACATTTACAGCAAACAACAACTCACATAGCCAATAATGAGTAACTGTTTTCAAGTTACACTGTACTTTATCATCTAATCCAATTTCATTGGGGGTGGGGGGAGAATGAATTAAAGAAAAGAAAAGATAAGAAGATCAACATGAACAAGTTTGAGTAAATATATGAAGAATACACAGGTTATATTGAATATTATTTTGAGCTTCAGATTACAAACAGCTAAAACTTATGATTAATTTTATTTTACTAATATCAAATAATATGTAATTTATTAATCTTTTCAGGTCAATAATAATCTTTTGTCTGTAGAACAGTCTATTTATGCTAATGACAATGAATTTAGTGTGCTTCTTACTGTTCATTCTCAGAAGAAATGTTCATACTCATCACATTACGACTTGTCCTCATTTTCTTGGAGAATGAAAGAGAACTAAAACATGTGCAAATTGGCAATTGTGGAATAACAGTAAAGTACAACAATATTCCAAAAACATTTTGTCTGTTTGATGCACACCTCGCTAGGAAAGATGGTTAATCCTGGTTAAAATACTGACACTGAAAGTTATCAAAACAATAGCTTGCAATGGTGCAGGTAGCTCTAGAAGATAAAGAATGAGGGACAAGTTTCCTAAAGGAGTCTATAAATTGATCTGCAGATCTACCTATCATAGATATAAATAGATCTCACGATCAGGTTTTAAAGAAAGGAAATGTCAAACATTTTTTGCCAATGTAAAAATTAATTTACTAATTAAAGATAAAAAGCAAACTTATATTTATCAATTTTTAACATCTTAAACTACACTGACATCTGATATATAATTTAATGTTTTCAACAAATTCCACATTTCATTTATTTTCTAAATGTCCTGAAAATTTACTCTTAGAGATACTGAAAAATGTATCATAACTGATGGAATTATTAAAGTTTTGACAGCCAAAAAGCCAGGTGTAATTATTAGGGATTCAAATGCTAATCTGGATATGAAGATATGGTTAACATTGTAAAAAAATTACATTTTCCCCCATTAATATTTGTAAAAATATAGTATAAGATGTACTATTTTTGATGGGAAAGCTATATTTGAATTTCATTTTATTGTTGTACAAATAACTAAATTACCATGGAATTAAATAGTACAATTGTGTCACACAATGTCACAAAACTTGTTATTCATATTTTATTGATGTGGGCATTATTAATTGTTACATTAATTTAACAATATATTATTAACTACTAATTTAGCTCTGAGACAGCATTGCCGCTGACTCTGCAGCATCTCTCACCGGCCCACCTAAGGGGATATAAGAAAACTATGGAGGTTTCGGCTATGTGGAAGGTGCCTATGGTTTAGTAAGATATCCAGGAATTCGAAAAAATATATGTAAACATTTATCTTGTGTTATTTGTTTCCGATGCCCGCAGAAATGGAAAGGAATATGCAGCATCCGGCATGTGAGAGGTGTCAATTGTTTCGATAGGTACCCACGAACCCTGAGAAATTCAAAAACAAAGAAACAGGTTCAATTTTGACAGAAAAAATGCAAATATTTGATTGTACTATTCCACTTATTCGCATACTACGTGTACTAGCTGAAATTTTGTACTCAGTGCGTCTCTGTGTGAAATAGATAAGTGTTTCTGTCGAAAAATCGCGTTTCCGCCTCCGATTACAATTCATTCTCTTTACTACAAAGTAGAATGGCGAGAAACTAAAATAGATTGATGGCAAAAGTTCCTGTCCGGCTGTGGTCAACGCTAGCGCTTAAATCCTTCAAACGATTTTCTCCAAAATCTATATACCTTGATCGATTCTGCAAGAACTCTGAGGCCCCGCTGTGATTTTGAAACGAATATTTTGATTTTTGAAGGAATGTCAAATGAAGCCTCAAAAACATCATCAATATTTTCTTTAAAAAGCTTCAGATTTTTGATTTAACTTTATTCTCAGATAGCGTAAATGACGCTTAAGAATGGTGCAGATCTCAGATTTTATGAAATAATTTTCGAAAATCAAAAAAGTTCAAAACTTTTTCGATGTCTTTCTATAACTCCAATATGGAAGATATTTGTTAATAAAATCTGTTGTTCAAAGATAAATTCTAAAATAACTTTATGCATAGTTTTTCCAAAATATGAGTAGTTTTCGCGCAATTTTAGGTTAAATTAAGACATTTTTTTTTCGAATGGGCTCTATTTTTTAAAAATTAGCCTATTCACCTATTTGAAAAAACGAGTAGTTTTCGAATATTTTCTGGATGATAATGCAATCTTTAAAAAATTCTCAAATGATGGCTCTAATTTTTTTTTCATGGATAGGACAAATGGCATTTACAACATTGCTGTTTCAATTTCGTTGAAAACTTAGAATTTTCGAAAATTATTAATAATACGAAACAGTTTGTGTTGATGTTGCACCACTAATTTCGGTAATCCAAAAACCGTGGGTTTTTACTGCCCAACGTTTTAGAGGAAGTAATTTACTATGTACACGGAAACAAGATTCTAAAAAAGAAAGGAATGACGATTATTTGCTAGAAGCCTTTTGTACATCGAAATACAATGTTCAATATCACACAATGCAATATGAGCAATTTTTAAAGCAATTGAATACCTTTATTGTACCTGTATTCTCTATAAAGGAAAATTTCTCTCATCACAAAATATCCCAAAGAGAAAAATCAATCAAACTTCCAATAATTATTTCTGGAAATTTCTACTGATAACATGTCACCAGAAGAAGAAATAAAAGAATTGAAAGAAAGGGAACATTAAAATATGTTCAAACTGTAGTGGTAAAAAATGAACAATGAAAGGAAATCAAACGAAAATATCGATTTGAAAAGGGCAAACAAAAAATCAAATCAAATCTGGAAAGGACGAGAATGTCTTAACAAACATCTCAAAACAAATAAACAACTTACATCTTAAAACATCGTGAAATATGTTAATACCATAGAAGTGCTATTGAAGGACAAGAAAGAAAGATGCAAAGTCATCAAAACATTCGTCACACATTCTATGTAGATAGAAATTCTTCTATTCATTCCATAGTGTACGCCAGAACAGTGAGCATTAACAGGCGTCATGAAATCAAGCGAAATATGTTCATTGAGCTCTGCATTTCCAACATACCAGTTTCTGTAGGGTATTTGAACTGGAACCGTCCAAGGAGGAAAATTCTCGGCTCTTAGGACGATCGGTGTCAGCAAGCGCTTCTACGGAACTACCTTGAATATGCAGGAGGGACTCGAAACTAAGGACAAACTGTGACGTCTGAAGACGCTCGACTGCCAGTCACTGCGTCAAAACTTCAGATGGAAATAGAAAAGTGGTAAATACGTCCACACTGAAATCTTGCAGCGGTGTTCGACTTTTGATCAAGCAACGATTTTGGGCTATTTTGTCTATCACACAAATACCGCAAAGGATGTGGAATAGGAGTTCCCAACGGAGTGGGTATCGATCCCTTTTAATTGATGAAAATTTGAAATTAATGAAAATTAAGGGGTCGACTTGTACATACATGTAACATTGTATTTACAAGATTGTAATCAATTTATTACAAACAAATTATAATGAAGATGCCATTTCATTATTTTTTGATCGAAGGTTTTCTATAAAAATGTAATAATAAATTACATATTGACACATTTTCTTTCGTTTTCTTATTCATCGATTGGATGTTTAAAACTCAAGAAATTATATCAATGTACTCACAATAATATTCAATCGCGCAAGAAAATATTCTCCGCAAAATGCACAGCAGAAATGTTATAGCCAACATTTAAATATCAACATTTTGTAATCATTGTACAACAATGATGATTACTAAGCTATTGAGAAGCAGAACTGGGCAACTCAGAAGGGTTGCATCTCGTATTGGAAATCGAGATATTTAAGAAAATATTGGTGTAGGGAAATTTAGCTGTAAATTAAATTTTGTTAAAAATCTGTAAATGAATGCTAGATGTAACATAAAAGGGACCTTGGCGTATTGTTCTTAGTATTGTCGCAAATTTTGGGTCCAATTGAATTATCTCGAAATAAACAGTAATTTACATCAATGCTATCTATTCACATCAGGAGATTGAACAATAATCCATTTTAGCGCTAGAAATCCTCTTTATGTCAACAAGGTAATATTTATTATGGAAGCTATAGTTATGAAAATGACGAAAAAAAAGGTTTAACGTTAAATAGGGATTCATAATACAGCCCTTTCCATAATCTCTAACCTCGGATATTTACAATAGACCAAGAAAAATGTTTCCAATTAAATTAATTATATCTATTGAAGTTATTACAAATAAATCACATTCATTTACGAAAGAGATTATTAATGACAGCAGTAATTATATATAAGTCAACAAATAATATTATAACTTGTATAATATTTTATTTTATATTAATTATGTAATTGCTTTACAAGAACTGTTTTGGGGTGACCTCGCTTTGAAACTTTCCTCGTACGGATTTGTGAAACGGCATGACAATCCAGAAATTTAGCGAAGTCATGTTCGGAACTGACTTGCATTGGGTTATTTTAAATGTTTTTAATCGGACTTTTTTTTCTCGCAGGAATCCGTGAAGCACATTGATAAGAAAATCTTGCTACATCATGGGTACGTCTAGTTTGATCTGCACCAAGCCACATGAAAACAGGATGACTGACGGGGAAGAACTTTCCTTATTTTTTTTAAGACGAATTTTTACAGATTGATTTCTATTAATCCAAGTTCCATTGGTCTGCGAGGGTTGTTGAGGTGGTTTGTGGTCTAACACCAAAGAAAAATCAATGGTAACGTGAGAATGAATTATTTGATTCAGCGGCTATTTCGGAAGACCGTAAGTGGTGTGAACGTTCTACACTAAGATTTTTAGTGATTGTGATATATCTAGTGAAATGGAGACAATGTTACAATGTGCGTGTGTACTACTCTTTCAAGGATTAAGCAGAGGTACGCTTGTGCTGGTACGCTAACCCGGTACTGCTTTTTGGATTTCGCTGTCAATTATAAGACAAAAAACGTTCCAGTAGTGGAAAACGTACGTTCTTCAAGCGCACTCCTGGAATTAGACGAAGCTCCTTTTTAACTTCTACAAGGGTAAGTGTGTGTTACGTCAAATAGGAGGAAAGAAAATAATACTGAGAGAATAATACTCGGGTGAGGCAAACATACTGAAAGATATCATTTGGATTCTACAAAGGATTAAAGGAAATTTTCCAATTTTATGACAATAAACTTTCAATTAATTTTACTTTTTTATGTATTTTGTTCTAAATGTTTTGCAAGCAATTTTCAAAATTGAGTTTTAAAAAAAGTCATAAACGTTTAGAAAGACTGAAGAACGTATTAATTTTGTTTCTTTTAAGAATTACCTAATCATTGATATGTAAGAAATATCTTAAATACTGTCCATTACCTAACATATTTTATTGTGCAAACTTTTAGCATTATATCCGTCAAATTAGTTATTTTTACCATGTTTTTATTCGAGACACTACTTTAATTTTTCATCAGATTTAAAATCATTTTAATCTACAAACCTTTGCTGACGAGGCAATTCTCTCTATCGTGTGTTCCACAGATGTTCAAATTGTTTCTACGTGACATTCTGTTAAAACAAGTTGAATGCTACTTTAATCAAATAAGGACACATTTTGTTGCGTTAAACTTGTTTTTAATCGAATGACGTTTTTACCAATTAGATATTTTCCACAATTTTTACAACACTTCCTGTGGCAGTGGGCCAGAAAATGGATGTCGTATATACAAATCTGCATCTCTAGGGCTATTGTGAAGGAATACACGAATGGCCCTTCACCAAAGATGAACTTCAAGAGAATGGGACCATAGATTCGGAACTTTAACTATGTTAGTTGTGAACATCAAGTTATAGATTTATACGTAAATTGTTTCAAAAGCAATCATGAATCGCCAATAAATGTATATTTTTGAAATACGAATATTTTGACCACTATATATCTTAAGCCGAACTGATCCTACAACAAAAATAAAGAGAATGTTTTTTTCTGTTTATTTTTAAAAAATATTTCAAAGGATATTACGTCTGCTTTAATTTTACATATAGACTAATTTTTGATCGGATCGATGGCTGGAACACTGGAAAATAGCTCCCCGTCCTCCGTTCTCCCCCACTCTCCAGGATATTTGGTACGATGATTTGATTCGTTTATTTATCGCCAAAAAAGAGTAAATACTTAATGTGATGAATAAAATATAATCTGCGCATGTTTTCTTGAGCTCCAGAATCCATACCTCAACTTTTTATTATATTTGATAGGGATACTGGTTTTAGTCATGTATTACAACGTATTGTTTATTAGGGCCGACGTGTTGCGTAGTACGGACGTTATGATAAAAATGTGACTGCAAACATTTACTGGAATTACTATCTTTTTGGGAATTACATGGCCTTTGAAAAGTGAATTAGACAAGGATGGATGGCAATCGTGATGAAGTGCATGAATTGCTGACAGCCATTTAAATCAATATGTTGCTGTTACAAGAGAAATGGAGAAAAAATGCTGATGGCAGGTAAGCCTCAGCCAATTCTTCAATATCTTAAAAAGGAACATAAAAAAACTACAGCCGCAACCAGAGAGCAACTTTTTGATTGATTAATTGATTAGTGATTCCAGGCATGCCAAATACTAAGGTCATTAGTGCCGTAAGTGTAGTGTATATTTTTCCTTGGCAAGTGGCGGTGATTTCCCTGCGCTAGATAGCGAGTTCCGGCGCCGATCTACCGTCGGCTAGCGGGGTTTCCCTCAACAATGTATCCCCATCAGCGGGGCACGGCTCTAGCAAGGACAAGCTCTAAGTTCCCGTCCGGTCTCTCGGCATGTGTGGTAGTGTAGTGCATGGTTGTGTATGTAAGTGATGATGCTAGGACAAGGAAGAGGAAGGAAAGAACGCGTGCGGTGTGTGGCTCGTTTGTTACGGTACTGCTCCGGTATTCCCCTGGTGTTGATCGGAGAAACCACGGAAAACTACAGATCAGCAGCCAGCCTCTAGAATTCTCCTCCAGACAGCGACAAAACTCTACCTACCTATCTAGCCAGTGTCGAAAATCCTGCCACCGCCAGGACGCGAACCTAGGAACTCCCGATCAGATGCCCTGACCATCTCTCCCACGGAGAAACAATAGGTAGTACAACACAGCCATCTCAAAGCTAGGCCGAGTTCAACCGCTGCATGGAGGAGAATTCCCGCAGTCGCCTGTTTTGATCGGTAGTTTTCTTGGTTGCTCCGATCAATACTAGGCGAATGCTGGAGCAGTACTTTCACAAAAGGGCCAGCGCGCGATCTTTTACTCCTCATCCTGGTCCTCTCTGCACGCCTTACTTACTCACGAACACTCACATGCACTACACTGTCACACTAATTGGGAGACCAGTCGTGGGCTTAGAGTTTGTCCTGGCTGGGGTGGTGCCCCGCTGGTGAGAGGTACTCGGAGGGGGGAAATTCCCGCCAGACGACTTAAGTCGGCACCGAATCTCGCCAGTCGGCGGGGGCAGATCACCATCTCCCGCGATGAAAGCATGCATTACTCTCACGGGATTAACGACCTTTTCCGTTGACGTACCGGAAACACTAATCAATCAATCATGTATTCCGAAAAATTGATTGACGCCAAAAACATGTTTGTCTGTGGTCAACGCTGGCACCTTAACTGTTCAGACGACTTTCTCGAAAACGGATAGCCCATAATCGATCTGAACGAACACAAGGTCCCGCGAGTTTGAAACCGATATTTTGATATTTGGGGGTAATTTACATGTAGTCTCAATATTTTTCAAAACTTTCTCAAAAATGGCTCCAATTTCTTTTTTTAAAGTAGGATCGAGTAAAAAACTGTTTAAAATAGCGCAGGTCTAATTTTCTTTCAAATACATGATTTTTCTGAAAATTGCAAAAATTCACGGTTTTCGTCGTCTTCCTTCACACACATTATTGAAAGTATATTTCTCCCTGAATTAACATTTGTGATCAAAGATCTTGAAATAAAGTGATGTACAATTTTCAAATCAAAAGAATCAAAAACAGTTGCAAGCAAGAAACATTTTCTCAAAAACTGCTCTACCTTTTTCCCTTAACTTTTTTCTTAGGATAGAGCTTAAAAAATGGCGTCGGTCTCCTGTTCGTTAAACTTTGTAAATTGTAAAAGTTTAAAAAAAATGCTAGAAAATATGTGCTATTGTAGCACCGCTTGTTTTAGGCGTCAATTGCTCTATCCGTGGGAAAAAAGAAAGAAAAATGATGCAGTTTTTGAAAAAAATTATTATCTTATAAATTGCATTAATCTCGAGCAGAAATTGTGCGAAAACTACTTTCTCACAAAAAAAAATTGTTTCTAAAGATATGATTTTTGAGAATAAGTTTCGTTTAAAAGAAAAATATCTATCTTCAATGTTGTACTTATGGAATGTAAATTTTTTGCAATTTTTGAAAATACAGAAAAATTGCCAAAAATGGAACCAGACACCGCCAACGCTCGTTACCCTCCATCAAATAACATTAACGCAGTCACAAGTTTATATAGGAAATCAAATTCTTAGCGTTGATTAATTTTAAAATGGGTATCGCATTGGTATTTTCACCTACTTAAAGCAACGCTGATAACTCCACATTTGAGCGTAAAAGTTCCATATCAAGTCTTACTTGGCTGAGCTTCCGCCTCTTGTCAATTTGCTTGTGATCGAGTTCGATATAATCGTGAAATTGCTTGTATAATAGACGCCATGGGAACAGAGCTGACCTTTACGACCCACGGGGGCGTGGCAGTGTCATTGACCCTGGCTTTCTGACTTCCAGCTGTGGATGTCTTTGCTTTGGATGACTGTTACTGATAACAAAGGTCACAGTGTTAACAGAACTAATTAGTTATTGCATTTGTTGTTTTCAATTTGTTAAATAAAACTGTTATCACTTCCGCAAAGATAATCATAGTATCGGACTATAGATCTTAATAATAATTTTCATACTCCAGATCTAAAAATGAATTTTTGTTTTAATTTTAGGTTTTTTAAAAACGGACTTTCAGTATCTTTCGTATACTTACTGTTTCCGCGAGGATAACATCTCACTTCCCAATAAGAGTGGAACAAGATCCGTGGTGTAGTTTTTCACCTGAGGATACTGTTCAAATACCGACCGATCGTCGATTAATTTGTTGGCAAGCAGGGACTCCATGGCACGGGGAACGAATTGGCAAATTTCTAGGTTTGAGCATTTCACTGCGTGTAAATCGTAAATGAGGCACCTAGGTTTGGATTAATTGTGTCCTTGGTAGGAACAAATTAATATTTTCCAGCATGGGACATCAGACAAATCGGACAGACATTTTATTGCAGTACAACGTTTACGGGAAACACCATTGCCACTTCACGCAGCACAGCTAAAGAATCATGAGGTACATGAAAGACTGATGTTTCATTGTAGAAATGCTTGTTGACTATGGTGTGTAGTCGATAAGAATGCATTGTGACACTAATGAATGTAACGTGACAGTATAAAACAAAGCAACAAATTAAGAATTAATAGCAAATTTGAATTTAAATGTGAAACTAATATTTTCTTCCCTTCGTAAACTAGGCATATCAAGGTTTCGGGTCAGGCAACTAGCGTACTAGTTTTCAGGCACCGCCTTTAGAGCAACTGGCGCGAATTTGAAAAGGTTGTACAAATTGCTCTGGGGTCACTGGATATCTTGCACATATCTGTCTTTTGGAGAAACCAGTCGACAGTTATTGCCTCAAAGTGGCTATTGATTCCAACTCTATCTATTACAGCCAAGAAATTATTCATTAAAATGAAATAGTTTATCAGTAAGATTTTCAATTGTTAATTGAAAGTGAAATTAAACATTTTGAATCAAAATGATCTTGATTTCGTAATCATGTTAACAGAAGGGTATCATAAATGTAAGTACCTCATATGTGTGCACGAGTTAGAACAGACATTTCAGAGCTAAAGAAACCATGCATATATTATACCTCTCCCCATAATTATACGTAACAGTTTTTAATAGTTTTTGACGTTAAATAAATAAATAGGCTTCCTTCTTTCAGGTACGGTTTAACAAAAATTCTTGTCTGTTTTAAATATAGATTTATTCAGTAAAAAACAAACAAAAAACAACAACAGTAAAAACTGTGTGACATAGGGGGGAAAAGATTATCTGCGCACGTTTTCTTAAGTTCCAGAATCCCTGTTAAAACAGGCGTCCTCCTTAAGCGAGAATTGTTAATTTATTTCAAATTAATGTTACATACAAAAAAATAACTGAATGATTTAATAAAACAACGCAAACCGGAAAAAAGGAAATAATTCGTCATTCAAACATATTCCTGCCCCTTGCCAAAAATGTTTCTTGAAGGCAGAAGTTTATTAAAGTTTATAAACATAATTCAAATCGCAGTTATCTGATAGAAAATATTATTTCACATATATTCGTATGAAACCACTATTCTTCGTGATACCTCGAATATGCTTTACGCTTACATTCTTAGCTTCAGCTTGCGATATATATCCCTTTTTGGATTGGAAGGGGAAATTAGAGCGAAGTCAGAAATTGACGGTGCTCGTAGGTTTCCCAGATGGATAAATACTTCGCGTAGACGTACGTAGTTTGACAAGCTTGAAGAACAAAATGTTTACGGTTTTTCTCGTGGATTTGTTACGACAAACTGTTTGAACCATTCCGCACTGACTTTCTTTGAAATACACAAGCTGCAAAACAGATTTTTTTCCAATTATACTCCTTAATTCTGAATAATATACTATTGTTTATGATGTATGATTCTTTACAGTTTTCTATAATGCATGCATTAAGTCTTTATAATGTACTCTCGAATCAGTTTCAAGTCTCCCATAAATTGCAAACGTGGTATGGAAGGGGGCATAGTTCGCGAGTTCACAAATTTTCTCCTACTTCAGTATAAATATACAATTGATCGCCTCGATATGTTATCCCGAGTTCACAAAGTAGTTTTGTAATGACCCCAATGTTAAAGGCCCATTTTCCAAGGCCAAGCACGGCCACCATGTTCTACCATCTCGGGAGCTTAGAGCTTGACCTGGCTGGGTACCTCACTGGCGAGATATACCTAGATGAGGGAAACCCAATAAGCCGACCCGTAGGTCGGCGCCGGATCTCGGCACTCAACTGGAAAGAATACAGACACCTCCCTGGATACAAACATGCACTACAGATACGGGACTAATAATAGTATCAAGTGTCGCGCCCGGAAATACGAAATAATCAGCCACCATGATATCCACCAGGCTCCCCCATTTTATCCCCTGATGTAGCCCGCAGGCCCCTCATACACAGTGTGTTCTTGTTATACGTTGCTAGCAAAGCCTGCGGGTCTTGTCGGCTTGGTTTGGAATTAGCGATTATGTGAACCGGTGACCACAGCTGGGTAGCGTCAATTGTGGCCCGGAGACAGGTGCATCAAGCTGGGACAACCATGTCAGCCAACCGGAATGAAACGTCAAATAATTTATTGCTAATTAATTGCCACGTTTCTAGTCGCGAAAACGGTTATTTACAGCCCGAATTTCACTTTGCGTGCTGGTTATAGGGGACAAGCTAACTCACACCTGTTTTTGCACGCAAATACGTGACATCAATTCCAGATTTTGGCAATTTTGGTAAAATTACCAATATTGGTAAAAGCGTTTTCCTATCACATTTTGGCCTGAATTTCAAATTTTTAAACTGATAAAACCGGTTTTAATTTTTTTCCACTATTGTCCACATTGTTTAAAAATCTGAAAAAAATATGTTGTAATGTTGTAAAACACATTATAAGGAGGAAATTGAAAAACAACTCCGTTATCTCATTGAAAATTAATTTCATTTTTTTCTCTTTGAATTCGGTGTCAAAATTGGTTGACAAAAATACCTTTAAATTCAACTACTTTCCCCCGACGCTGTATGTTTCAGCTTCACACATGCAACAGAAGCTAAGAAATATACGAAAAACAAGTTTGTTGTATGTCTGGAATGGATTGCCATAGGAAGCTGATTTTTTGGGAATCTACTGCATTTTTTATTATCTTTTATACGAGCATCGCGATTTGGTTTGGGGAATTTTTCACTGCCTTATTTGGCTATATCCTTTGGGCAAAACTTAGTTGATAAGTAATTTTACAGTCACTTTAATATTCGAGCAACACAGGAAAAGGTGACTGATGAAAAGATAAATTAACATCAAACTGCAACTTAATATTTTGTAGTTAGTCCCTTTTGTCAGGCACGAATCCACACGGAGGGAAATTCCCTACCCTAAATTTTTTTCTGGAATTATTTATTTTAACTTGTCACAAAACTTTCAAGCAAAAATATTTTCGGATGATCAAACATTCTGAATTTTCAAAAATAGCAAGTTAGAAATACTGCAAGAAAAAATTCAAGAACCCTTACAGTTGAAGCACCACTAACATTTTAAATATAGCACTGACTGCCCTTATCCGAAGGGTTGGGCAATGATAGAGAAGCAGGCAATCACTATAAAGAAGTGGGTTAAAGAAGTGGTTTAAAAGAGCATCTACCTTTTGTATATTTTTGATATTTAAACTTGGTATACATATAATGGTCCAACCAAAATAGGATGATTCATTAACAAGACACATTACAATAACCTCAGAACTGGCGCTTCCTTACTTGGTTTTGCACATTTCCTGAAATGTAGGCAAAGAACAAAAGGTTCTTCATTGTTTTAGCAATTTACTGCGCAGTTAGAAAGTGCTCCAGGAGGTTTAGTGGTCTCGAGAGTAGGAATCAGTCTTAACTGAGCATCAACAAACAACAGAAATGTAACTTCCAGCCACATTCTTGAAACAAATAACTGTTGTTTTCCTCTCCTCTGATGTCACAAACTCAATTCTCTCATCTTTTCTGAGCAACTAGTTTCTTAGACAGTTTTAATACCTCTCATCACATAAATATATAATGGAGGAAATCCATGTGTCTTCTTGACTTTATCCATATTAACAAAAAGATGCAAAGCTCGTCTGTTGAAACCTGTTAGCCTATTCGTACTCAAAGGCTCAGGTTTTTGTATTCAAATGTAATGGTTTCTTTTCATGAAAGCTTCCAGCCAATAGTTTCCACCAATACTCCAAAGCTTGCTGGAAATCAATTGAATGTCTTTACCTCTCATACATCAACATGCATGAAAAACTTAAATGTGTGAAACCTATCTAATGTAGAACAAGCACACAATGTATTTAGCTGGTTGATACCACTTTTTTGCACAAGAGTATTTTTTACTGATGTACTACACCAAATACAAGTTAGAAGTTGAAATAATGTAAGGAAAAAATAAAACCAATAACACTGATACATGTTAACAGTCTCCAAACAATACATTATCAACTGAATGCTTCAAAATGGATTTTAATGTATTATAACATTATACTGCTTGATGCCAGTTTTATACATGCTTTTGTAAACAAATAATTCAGAAATCACACATTAGAAATTTCCTATTTTCCCCTACATCTTTAAAGGAGTTGGGCAAATCAAGCGTGTATCAGTTTGCTGAATTAAACTACGTAATGAGAAAAATTGTAGATATCTCAAGAAATTGTAAATTATTTCAATGTTGATATTCACAAAGACACCATAAAATTCTGTGACAGCTATGAATGAAGCAACAATGCCATTATTTTCATTTCAGCAAACAGTGCACCCATTCATTTACACATTTAAATTTGATACAAAAGTTAAAAACAAAAACAAAAAACACAACAACAGCACACACACAAACAACAACAGCATCACACTTTGTCAGAATAACTTTTGTGTAAATGCTACTTAAAAATAATTATTTTATAATTTATTTTTTAAGTAATGATAAGTATTTTATAATTAAATACTTACCCTACCTACTTACATACTTAATGTTACTTGTACTTATTTTTCATACTTCAACTGGCATTTGTAAGTAATCTGTATTACATAAACTGCAAATAGGTTAAAGAAAAATAAAAAGAATAAACTCAGAAACATTTCCACAATTTGAAAGCCACAGTAAAGGACACTTCACTGACTTACAAGGAATAACGTATGATTTATTTAGTCATTTAAAATCATACACAAAACAGTTTTTCAAATTTTTACACAAACTTACAACAGTAATATATATTTATCACTCCTTTTCTTATCAGCTTACATTGTACAATTCAATCATTTTGCAAATGCCATTTTGATTCTTATTTAGTCTCAATTTCTCACAATCTTACTCCAGCAAATGTTATATTATCTAATCTTCACTGGGACAGTTAAGTAAAATCCCTATTCACTTTCAGAATAATGGTTGCTAAAAAATAATAATAATAATAATAATTGTAACTCTCTTCCATGATGTTGATATTAAAAGCTTCAAGAATTTCATGAAGCATCTGTTAAGGGTTCCTAATTTTTCTAATTCTGACTGTACATAATCTATTACTCTAACAACTGTCCCTCAAATTCAAATAGCAATGTCAAAAATAGCAATGTCATTAATTTAATTTTCAGCATTATGTTTTGCATATCAGGGAAAGAAAATACACAACACTCAATGGTCTTTCAATGTCTTACCACTTACTGAGAATATAATTTACAAAAAAAGCATTCATTCTTTTGCTTTCACATTCAGGAATATATACATCAAATAACATCAAAACAGAATCACATTACATTTACGGGATATTGTGGTTCTGCAAGCCAATCCCAACACAGTGAATTATATTAGAATTTGGGCCTGCATTAACAATACTGAATTTAGCCTGTAAAAGAAATGAAATTTATTAATTTTAAAATCAAACAAGAATGGTTACTTTGTGAACATGCACACCACCCAACAACTCAAGATTTACATTAGGCCCGCAACAGATTACACCAAGGAAATTTAGTTGAGAGAAATGTGGAAAACCGGAACAAGGGACACTTATTGACTTCCACACACTAGAAAGAGTTTTCTTGTCCACTTCTGCGGAGGTGATAGAGTTCCTTGCTCAAGTCGATTAGTGAGCGAGTTTTCTCAAACACATTTCTATTCCTTCACTTTTTATAGTACATAGAATTGAGTGAGGTTACAATATTTAGCAGTAAAAGATGTGATAAACAACCAGATTTTTTAATTATTTACTTGAATTTTCTCATTAAATGGAAATGAACAAGAAAAAACATGAGTGGGATATATTCATACTTGTATGAAATCTTTTCATGAGCAACATAAAAATAAAAATTGTAAGTTTGTTTCTTGAAAGGGTATTTTGAAAGAATTGAATTAATTTATTATTTTTCTTTATTTGCATTTATTATTTATAAATTAATTTTTTAATTGTGAATTTTATTATGAATTATTTGATCATTCACCATTTACTCATTATTCAATCAACAAATATAGTAAAAAAAGATGGGCTCAAGAAAATTGTGCAAATAGGTACTTCTCCTCTAAACGTTACACAAGTTCCTGATTTTTTTTTTTTTTTTTTTTTTTTTTTACATTAAATAACGATTTGTATGCAATTCAGAAATGTATTTTTCTTTAGGCAACTTGAACATTCTTTAAGCTGGTTTGGGATTATGGTAACAAAACAAGGATTTCACGGCTTCAGATTACACAAGAGCATTTAATAAAATAAGAAATTAGATTCACAGATGATCTCATAGCTAACTGGTGTCACCCCTTTTGGTTTGTGGTACATAAAAGCATTTCGAGACATTTGAGATTTCTAATAACCTATTTCTATTGTGTGGACACAGCTTCACTAGTCTCTTTCCTCATTTCTCGTCACATATTTCTCGCAGCGCATTCCTCGGTGTGGTCTGTTGCAGGACTTACACAGATTTATACTAACCTCTGTTAAGGTCTCACACACATGAATAGCTGATTGAGTGTGTTCAGTAATCCTTCCAACTTTAACTTCTGAGATACCTTTTGCCAATGCCATAAACAGAATAATCTGTAAACAGAATAAAAATGTTATATGTTACATCCCTAAATCTACATTTAATTTAAGAATCTGAATTTAATTTTTATTTAAGAATCTACAATACAGGAATAAGAAAACTTTGGAAGCATTTACTGAAACATCTAACTTTATAATGTGTGGGACGTGTCATATGCACGCACATTCAGAAAATCCCAATAAATAAAAAACTATAGAACTTAGAAACAAACGGTTCAAGCACCAAAAAGTACACATCTCAAAGTACAAGAAACAATCAAAAATTAAATTCAAATTTTTCATGGAAAAACATCATCTTGTGGTAAACCTTAAAGCTTTATTTGCTTGCAAACGTAAAAATCACTTTCATGGTACATGTTAATTAAATACTATAATAATAATAATAATAATAATAATAATAATAATAATAATAATAATAATAATAACAACAACAACAACAATACAGTTATGGTGAACTCTATGAACAGATGTACTGATTTATTACTTAAACACACACAAAAATCACCAAAAAGACTCAGGTTATTAAGACCCAGGTTTGATCTCCAGTAAGGGGGACTAAAGCGTTCAACAATTTGAATTAAAAATATATTTTCATACCTGATCCTGACAATGATCATCCACACAAGCTCCAGAGTTAGCTGTCTCTATCAGCTGATTGGCTACTTGCAAACCTGTTTGTGCAGGTTGAAGCTCACGTTTGCCCAATGCTGATGCTCCCAAGAGAATACCAGTGGAAGTTTGAGCAACAATACTAAATGAACATGGAGAAAAAAATTAGATATAAAATACCCTCAACAGACACAAAGGATCTATGACAATATGTAAAGGATAGAATGGTAAACTTGCATGCCTGAAGTGTATGTATGCATGCATGCATGTATGCATGCATGTATGCATGTATGTATGTATGTATGTATGTATAAGAGCATTAATATGTGCAAAGAAACAATACCAACTTGAACATTTACTATATGAATTGTAAGTATCCTCAGTGATAATGATGATGACGATGATGATGACGATGACGACGACGATGATGATGACGATGATGATAATAATAATAATAATAATAATAATAATAATAATAATAATAATGTGAGGTGCAGATCAATAAAGATGAATCATTTATGTGGCTTAAAAGGGGAAGAATGAAGCCAGAATCCGAAGCAGCAGAAAATAACTGCTCAAGATCAGGTGTTGAGAACCCATTATGATAAAGTGGTTCTCAAAACTTCCTGAGATGATAAATGTTGTATTTGCCAGGAACAAGTATGAGTAGAAATCATTCATCATATCATTTCAGCTTTTCCACTTGTACAATCACTTACCAAATCCAGTTACATATGTTGGTCTGTGTACAATTCTGTATGACAAACAAATTCAAACTGATCACATGATAGCAGCAAACAAACTAAATATTGTTACCTGGGATTTGGAGAGAAAAAAAGCATGTCTACTTGTGGATGTTGTGCCATGCAATGAAAATGTCATAACTAAGGAGGCAGAACAACATCTTAAATACAAAAGTTTGGAAATAAGATGAGCCGAATGTGGGGTGAAAAAGCACCGGTCATCCCGATAGTTATCTCTGGGATTTGTTTTGTAAAATTGTGTAAAAACTTGGCTAAACTCCCTGGTCATTCTCAAGACTGGGAATGGAATGACATTGCTTTCACATTTTGCACATTACTGTATAGGCACTGATAGAACCTAGATCTGCTCCTTAGGAAGCTGGTTGCAATCTGGAGTAGACTTTATAATGAACCGACACATAACTTCTTTAGTTGTGAATTAGAGGAATAATATAATAATAATACAAAAAAAGACATGTTTGAACACATTGATTGTTCACTATGTTTTATCTTGCAGAATATAAACTTCTCCTAGACACCACACATCAAAAGTACATACCTATACTGCTCTTTTCAATTTGCCTAGATTTTGTGAAATCCTACACAGAATTACACATTTACTTCAGAAGCCCATCATTCAATATTGCTCCTGTTACTCATGCTTTGTGCTGATGATACAACAATATTAATGTTATCTTGTAGTGATTAATAGTGCAAAGTTAATACTACAAGATGAGTGGTTCGAGGAGTTCAAACTTGGTGCTTCTAATGGATGTGAAACAACTTAGGAATGGTGTATTAGTTTTCTGTGATTAGTGGAAGAGAAAACAGAAGGGCACTTTCCTATTGGGAAGAATTCTAAATTCATTACACCTCCAAGGTCACCAATTCCCTGTATATTTTCAGCATCTTAATTTCCCTGTTTTCCACAATTTGGTTACCATTGCATAATACACATACAAACATTTCCAAATCGTAAATTCAGTTCTCAGTTATTTTTCAAAAAAGTACTCACTTTATACCAGAGCATGTACCCACAGCATTTTCTGGGTTTTCCTTGTATGCCTCAATATTGACCTCAATGATACCGAAGGCAGACTGAAGTTCACGAGTAGCAGCATCCGCCATTGTATTAGCAACCTGTAATGCAAAAACAACAAATTTTATTCATCACCAGTACATAGCAATTAAGTTGTGACCAGTTGATAGACAATGGCCACATGTAGGACTTCAATTTTTTTATGTATACTTAGATTCACAAGGTAAATAATTGCTCCTCATTACTATGGATTCTCATATTATTCACTGTGTATTTCATGTAGTATAATGAATTCTTAATGTTTCAGTGATTCTAGCACTTGTCATGATATAATTCAAAATCATTATTTTTTTCTTTTCTTCCAACATAGCTCTATATTTTTTTTACATTTTTGGCTTGAATGGAACAAAGTGAGACTTGTAAATATGATAAAAGACTTATTTACATTAAGAATTCTGAAATTTTTAAAGTGGCAAAAGTTCACCTTTTTTAAACCTGATCAACACTTTCAATCTAGATATGTCTATCTTAATGTAATCTGTTCCCCAACATCTTTAAATCATTTCATATTTTCACACTTTGAAAACTAGTAGTTTTGGCAAAATTCTGAGTTATATGAAGTCAATTTTGCATTTTAGGTGTAAGAATTACAACTATATTACAAATTTATTGCAGCAGTTTGACTAAAGAATAATTATCTTAGTGTAGTGTGTAAGCAACTGGCTTCAAAATTCTAAGTCCAAGTTCAAGAATATTTTCTTTAAACTTTTCTTAAAGATAAATCAAAATACACTGACTACACTATGGCAGAAGTGCTGTTTTCATTCAAACTTTTGAAGTTTCAAGAATTACACACACGCAATTTTTTTAAAATCTTCTGCACTTTGTTAAAAGATTGCAAGCTTTTCAAGAGATGGGCGAAGTATTAGCACAAATTGCAATATGGTATTACATGACCACAAAAATTTGAAAAACTATGTTCTGTTGAAGAACCACTAGAGTATGTAATGTTCTAATCTGGCCCAAAGAAGGTGAAGACATCCGTTTGTAGCCAAGGTCTTGGCATCAGTTTTTTGGGATGCGCATGAGATTATTTTTATTGATTACCTAAGAAAATCAATTAACAGTGAGTACTATACAAACTTATTGCAGCACTTCAGAGATGAAATCAAGACAAAACAGTCACATTTGAAGAAAACAAATAATTTGTTTCACTAAGACAATGCGACGGTTCACATATCCGTTATGGCGATGTCCAAAACCAACAAGCTGAAGGTCGAATTGCTTCCTCATTCACTCTGTCCCTTTGAATTATTTTGTTTCTAAACTGGAAAAATTGGTTTGGTAGTAAAAGATTTGTCAGTGATGAAAATGTGATTTATGTGGTTTATAGCTATTTTTAGGCTCTCAACTATTCTCACCATGGTATCAAAGCCATCGAACTTTGCTGGGAAAAGTGTATCAAGCTAAAAGGAGACTATGTAGAGAAATAAAGATATTTTTCCAAATTTTAATTTTTCTTTTTTTTTTTACGTTGGATACATCTGGGACTACCCTTGTATATTGAGAAAATGCTATGAATCACTATGGTATCTTTCCAGCATTTGCATGAATCATTAGAACATAATTCGTCTGATTGACGACTATTAAATTGCCAATGTCCACCCTTGCTTACCAGAGTGTTTCATGACTCACCGCCCACAGTGCATTCTCCCCTTCTGGCATATAGCCCCGGTAAAAAAAGGTTTCCTCTTCTCTCCGTGGGAGCGCTGAGATATGGGCGATTAAAAGTGGTTGTAGATCAAAATAAATTTCCTCGTAGTTATCAACTCAAAAATTGTACATTTTCCCTCCAAGATCAAAGTAAATATTTTATTTGGTAACTACATCCGGATGAAGAAAATAAGAGAGGAGGACATGTCTCCCTTCCCTTCCTTGAGAAACAGCCATTGTGTGTTAAATATATGACTCTAAAATGAGGTTAACTCACTAGTACCAATTCATTGCCACTTAGATCATTCTCATGTATTCCATAAAGACTGCTATTTACCTAATATACACATTATTATTACTTGGTATTGCACTTATAAAAATACATTAATATACTTCATGTTAATATAAAATTTGTACCATTACAAACAAACTTTAATAAAATTTATAATAACCTTTATAGGAATGTTGCCAGCAACAAATGCCCATCCCCACACCCTTTGTATAGTTCCCCTCTCCAACAGTGTGACAGGTTCCAGACGATGCACAGGTTGAACTCTAATATGAACCACTCCTCCACCACGCGGATAATAGCCCCTATAAACAAATGAACAAATATTGAACCAAGAGTTAACCAAAATATGATATTATAGTTTGTGGGTAAGTCACATGTTTGTGATACTAAATAGTCTTAAACATTTTCTTTAAGATCTCACATTTACTTGGCATTGTATAAAATTTGAATCATAGTACAGTGTTTTTTGTAAACAACTTCTTTTTGCATGACAAATACATGCAACACAAGATCTGTGAGTATGCGCGCATGAGTGTGTGTGCATGTGTGTCTACAAATATGTACGATTTGACATAATTTACTACATTTCCTATAACTTTCTTCAAAATGAAAATTGCATTCCATATATGTATTTTACTTCAGGTGATTCATGTAACTTACCTTTTTAAGAGTTTGTAATCAAATGATGCTCCAAATCTTTCTAAGGTAGGTCGGAAGACCTAAAAAATACAATAATACATGAAAATAGTCAAGTAGTTTATCTGGAGCATCAAAACAGCAATAAAGCAAATTTAAACAAATATTAAAAATAAATTTCTACTGACTCACCTCTGTCATATAATCCAATTGAGGAGCCATATCAGTATTAGTTCCTCCTCGAAATTTCATTATTGTAGTAGTGTTAGCAAAAAGAGCACATGGAAGAGAGACTTGTATAAGGAGAGTAATGCTCCTGAAATTGTAAAAGCCGTTTGTTAGTATGTAAAATTACACTACAGCTGCAAATAGAACATAAATATTCAAACAAAATTACAGGAATATCAAAACATGTTTATAATTGTAGGTTAGGTAAGGTGTGAGATCTCTACAAGGAACCCACCTTTCCCCATTTCTCCCAGAACTATATGATAGGAATGTAAACATGTGTAATTGTGGAAGTTCTATACAAATGTTTTTTATTAACAGAGAAACATCCTGCAATTAAATTGCACGGTTGATTTGAATGTCACAAGTTTGAACTGAATATGACCTTTCCGCCAGTGTGTGTGTGTTGACTGAGAAAAGCAAAAGCAATACTATAACAACAAAAATAAATCATTTAATTTTTTTTAACCAAAATGAATGCTGCTGAACAATGTCTTTATTATATTAAACAATGCATAAACATAAATAAAAATGTCATTAAACTGAAACAAATTTTAAAGACATACCCAGCGGTTTGAGTATCTGCTTCATAATTTCCTCCCCTAGGTACTCCAGGCAAGAAAGTAACTTCGGTAGAATCAGGTACACCACCTTTTAACTGACCATTACACAGAGTCTGCACTACTTCTAGCCCTGTAATAAAACATTACAATTGTGTCAAAATACTATTTTATTTCCATCATTAAAAAACGGGTGATAAACAGGAAAACTGCAAAAGAGAAGTTGTGCTAGCTAATATCAGAATAATTATACATTGCTTTACAAATTAGCAGCTTTTAAACCTCTAGAATATAATGTATTGAATTCCAAAAATATCCATTTTTCCATCCATGTATCAGTGGGGTCCATTCAACTCGAGCAACCCCATCACTGCTGGGGTAGGCAAAAATGAGAATTTGATGAATTTTGAGAATTTAAATTACAATGAACCATATGTCACATGATGAAAAATATTGTACCCACTATACACACTACTACCCAATATAAGCACTACTGTGATCTGTGCAGTGGCCTACTGCTTCTGCAGTGCTCTAACCCCAGCTCTGACATTTTCGCTGGGCCTGTGTGTTCTGTGTGCATCTACTTTACTGGGCCCAAAGCAGGAGGTGATTGGGGAAAAGCCGTAGTCGATTATACACTGAACTCTGGCTAGTTGGGTATGGAAGGCGTTTCTCCCCCTCCCATTGCTTAAAAAGCCAGGCCTCCCCTGGCTCATCCTGTCTGCAAACGTGATTACTCATAAACCAGTACTACCACAGTGCAAAATTATTTTAAATGGATTGTTTTGTAAGTATAAATTCATGAACTGTTTGTTGAGAAGTTTATGACTTATAAAATGATCATGGGGCACATATTTTCTCTCCGAAAGTAATGGGAGAACCAGCATGTTCAGTAGAGATTTTATTATTTTTTGTGAAGAAAGAAGTTCGGACTCGCACGTGATCAGATCCATAGAATCCTTGAATTTGTGAATAGCACAGCATATTCTTCTTAAAGAATAAACTTGCATGTCACGGCAGTCCGTTATGCAGTGGTGCTCCATTGTAGTGTTTGTGTGTTTACTCGTTATTTCATGGGGATGTAGTAACTTTGCAGTGTAGTAAAAATGCTTTGTTTAACGAGTATCAGGAATAATTCTGTGTAGTTTGTCTTCCAGTGAGGTTATAATTGATTATATTTTAAGGAGACCATTTCCAACAAAAAGGTTAAGGCTATTGAAAATGGTAGGCCAGTATCAGCATTGGCACTTTTACAGCAGATAACAAAACAATGGGAAGG